TTATTGAATTGTCTTTCAAAAAATAACGTTTAATAAACAAATTCTTTTAAAAATATATTATGTGCATGTGCATGGGCTGAAATTTGTACAAAAATCGGCTCACACACATGTGCATGTGCTTAATAACAAACAGCACACACTTTTCTGTGAGCAGAGTTTGTTTTCCACTTATGCACACACATGTGTATGAGCAGTGAGTACAAGTTGAATGTGTTTCTGGCGTGTGTGTGAGCAGAGCATGTGTGTGCAAATACGAACCCTGTTTTGAAGTATAGTTAAATCGTTAACGGATAAGATAACGGCCCAGAAACGTAAGGAACATACATAGACATATGTTTACTTGCCTTAAAGGAAAGGCGTTCGCTTTATGAGCGAAGAGTTAAATTCATGAAAATCATAAAAAAAATTTGAATGTCAATGATGAATAAATTTTGAAAAGGGCCAAAAAAAGGGCTAGGGGCAATTTCAAATTTTTGTGGCCAAAAAAAGAATTTGGTAGCCAAATTTAGCCACCAAAGGGCTAAAACGGCAACACTGGAGACGACACCTTTCTTCCCAACGAGAAAATATACTTTTCCACCACGCACAGAGTACACTGCCGACGTGCAATTGGCGCTCTCGGCAGCAGCCAGCTGGTAAAGTATAGATACTTTCGGATGAAAAGATACTCAGTTGGAATGGCACAAGCAGCAGGTAGCACCTCCACATCTACATACGTACAAACGTATCTAGCTGTCCGCGAGTAAAATCATTGACTTTAGCCATTCTCTTGCAGGTTTGTGTTTAGTTTTACGAGATCTGCTGTCGTCGACGGACGTGTGTGCACGGAATAACAACGGGATATAAGTAGTAGAAAAAGTAATTGTTTTGTGGGCGTAACGACGAAAACGAATTGAACTTGGGCAGAGGCAGGCACAACGTCTGTGTGTGTGTGTGTGTGTGGGTGCGGATATTGTTTTTCAAACGTTTTTTCGTTTGCGGCGCCGTTTCATTTACATACATAAAACTGTTTTTTTTTTTAGTTGTTGCAAATCCTTAAATATATGTATACCAAGTACTTCTCTTGTAAATTTTTCAGTTAAGTGCCGAGCCGAAAAATTTAGAACAAGTCCATAGTAATGTACATATGTATGAAATAAGAGATTTATTAGATACAAGCGAATTCTATCAAAGAAATGTGAATTTTTGCTCTGGTGTTGTCATACGGTGAGACGTGCGCAGAAAACTGATTTTGCAATGAAAATTTAAAAACAAAAACATAAAAAATACTAAATGCTGAAAATAATACTATTTTGAAAATCAAAGTATCTTAACATTCATAAGCACATATCTAGTACCGCGTACAATTATTAATGTTGCCAAAATACTACTTACGAAGCTAAAAGTTTAATAAAAAAAAAAAAAAAAAATCCCTTTAAATGCCTGTATTTTGTGAAGAAATAAACGTGCAAAGTGTTAGTGTTGAATTTCCTGTTTGAAATTCTTTGCCTACTTTTTTCACTCGCCAACAACTACATACGCTTTACGGTATTCTGGGTTTGCCGTGCCGCTTTTGGAGTGCAACATACTTGTCTAGCCAGCTTGAATAAGTGGCTAGCGCCAAACGTGGAAGTCGCTTTTAAAGGTAGCTAACTAAAATATGTATGTATGTATTATAAAAAATATTGAGCAAACAGGCTATATAATTAAGTAGAGAGTATATATTTTGGTAGCCACGATTGAGTTTCAGAAATCGATTTTTAGTTCACCGCTTTGAATTTTTATTTTGTCTAATATTTAGTTATACATACATAGGTACATTAGTGCAAAAAGTGATAAAATGTGAAAAAACTAAAAATTTATAGTATACTTCTTGAGTTCTGGGCCATATGTAGGGCTTAATAGTCTTATCTTCCCTTCGAGATAGGGGAGTTATTTTCACATAATTTACTGTGCTTTTCTTATTAGGATCTGAACAATTAAGTGCCTACAATTGCAATCCTCGTATTAATAATTTAATGTTCTAAAAATATATATTTATATGAACATAAAACAACGCGTAAAGGAAGTCGTAATGAAAATGATAGAACGCAAAACAAATGGTTAGTCACTCAGTCAACTAGGCAACCAATCAGTCATTTAGCCTCTCATTTTTTCAGCTACTCACTCGATCAGACAGTGCGCCACTTTTGTGCCGCTTTGCTTTTGGCCAAGCAGCCAGCCAGGCAGGCAGGCGAGCGGACAGACTCAATATGATGCAAACGCCAAACAGGCAACGAACTAGGCATGAGCGTGTACAAAAATATACAATAAATGGAAACATGCACAAAAATATATACCTAATACACAAGCATCAGTATGTACATACATACGTACTATGTACCTTCTAAGAAAATATTGTAGAACTCAAAATATTATTACTAATAACAAAATAGGTACCTACTTTGCTTTGTGCTGGCAACGGCTATCTATTGGATTTACATTAATGAATTTCATAAAGAAAAAGTAATTTGCATTTTTATGACGCATTTGTTCGCATAGGAATATGGACATTTGGGCCGTGTGAGCAGAAGTGGCCTAACCATATTTTTTTTTTTTGTATTTACATACATAACCACTTAAAATAATTTCAACTGTGCTACATTTTAAAATAAAAGTCGCTTAATCCTTAATTTTAAGGTTCAAAGTTACATAAAATTATTATTTATTATTTTAAAATGTATCAAAAATTATTTAAACCAGGGACGGTAATCAATACATGTAAAATAATTTAAATCAGCATTTAATCATTATTTTATAATTTTTATTTTTCCGCTTAAAAATCATAATTATTATTGAGTTTTATTTTTCGCTCAACAAAAATAATTATTATTTGATTTATATTTTAAGTTTTATTTTTCCACTTATAAATACTGATTATGTATTTATAAAATTTAAAAGGTTATACAAACGCAACCAACTGAAATTTTGACATGAAAGGTCTGGGACTTACTCCTCTCGAAAAATAAAAGTCATTCTAAATTTCAATAGGACTTATGAACACAAATACGTGAGTATAGTTAAAACTGCTTTACGATAATTACAATATATTGAATTTTTTTGTTAAAAAATAATGATTACAGTGGTCGAAATAATTATAGCCGCAGCACATTTTGACAAGTTTTAACATATTAATTTTGTTTTTTTTTTTTAAAAATATAGTTCATTCTTTAGCAAAACCCATGTAAATACAAGTTTCTAACTTTGTGCAATATTTAAAAAAAATCAACAAACTTTCGTAAAAATTTCTAAGTTTTTTAATTAGATTTCCTAGTATGCAGTTTTGTAGCCCATTGAAATCTAGTAGAATAAAGTACAAGTTTCAAATGGTTAAAAATTATGGTTGATTTTTAGATTTTTTTTTTTGTCCAGGATGTTCCGGTTTTCTTCCATATAAAACTAATTTGTGTGTATTCCTTACATGAAAGCAAATGGGACAAAAAAAGCTAAAAAATGAATGAACTATAATTTTATAAAAAAAATACCAAAATTAAATAACAATAAAAATAATATGTTAAAACTTGTCAAAATGTGGTGCGGCTATAATTATTTCCACCACTGTATTTTCCTACCAGAATTGGCCTCAAATTTCTGCCATCCATTTATTTTAGCATGCAGTCGGAAAACCTGCATATTTCCAAACCTCCATAGTATTAACTTCAGACCCCATTTCCGAATAAGAAGTATTTTACAGGCTCAGGTTACTTTACTAAGAATTTTGTCTAATGGGTATTCCAACTTAAGTCTCTAGGGTAATTCTAAGATATTTGACTTCAACATAATATTCAAGCACAAATCTTTCACGATTAACCGAATCAAGCAAGGGTCGACTTACATACCCTTGTGGTCTGCCGATTAAGTTAAGTGACATTTTGACCAGTTTTGGCAATTTTTATTTTGTCTATTTAATGTTTATAATTTTTTTTTGTATTAAAGTCTGGCACATTTCATAACCAGGACCACATAAATCCACATGTCAAACTTCGTACAAAAAATATAAAAATTCCACAAACTTTAACAATTATGTACATCCAAAAATTTAATTTTTTTATTAAATGGAGCTGCTTATGTAATGTGCCAGACTTTTATAAAAAAATCATAAACATTAAATAAACAAAAGACAAATAACCAAAACTGGTCAAAATGTCACTTAACTTAATCAGCTTACCACAAGTGTATATGTATGCATCTTTATTTGAACGATACCAGAACAACTCTTAGCGGGTCTATCCTGAGGCTCGCCAGTTCGGTACCACACGCAGAGCTGCCACACATGGCGTTTGAGACATACATAGCTTCCGAATTTGAGCGTAACGAGAATTACCAGGCCGTCTGGTAACCAATAGCAACGTAACCACTCTCCCATAGTTTGGTTAACAGGTCGCTCATCGCGATGGACGAAAATAACGAGTAAAGTGTCGGTATCCTCATACATATGGCTATTAATTCACGAAAGTATTGCCCAAGAAATTTCTTTCTATCTAACTAATTGTAGGCCGGAATCGGTCGATTTACCTTTGACTGTGGAAAATCTCTGTTTGTTTCAGTCCTTCGATGCTCTTAAGAGTGACCCGTATGGTTTAAGTGTATCAGAGGGTGGGTGATGGATTTAGGAATAACTAACACGGATACGATCTCCTTCCAAACAACCTCACCGCCCACTATACCTTGCCCCAGTCTAAAATGGAGTCACCATTGCTTTGCCTTCTCACTCTGGGAAGCCGATTCCAACGTAGAACCTGATAAATGCACTTTGAATCAAGAGTCTCATTATCGTTCGTTAGCAAATTGAACATTTTTCCTCCTTGTGCATTCAATCTCATTCGATGATGACACCTCTACCGTAGATCTTTCGTGAAATGTTTCTCACTCATGCGCTTGGAGAATCTTCGTCCCTGTTAAGGAACGAGTACTTCTGCAAAGTTTTTTTTTTATTCTTTGCCGTGTCTATGATAGTCGATGTAGATAACCAGAGTGAAACATGAGAATTCTTTATTTTAAATTAGTGATGGGCAGCACCTTGCCTGCGTGAAGAGCCTTTCGAAATTTGTAGACATTTTGTATTGTCACGCAATGGGCAAAAACTTTATCTGTCCATTACTGTTTATGATGTTCCTTTGTGTTTTGGGCCGAGGGGCTCTGTCTGTAGACAGTAGGTACCTTATTTTGTCTTCTTAACCACTAAAACTAAAAACTTTGTCAATATACATGGACAGGCACTCTAGCTGTTCATTTTACTTTTCTGTCTGCTGCTGGTAAGATCTGTGGAAATGGCTAATGGAAATGGAAATGCAATAAGTCAAAAATTATTGAAATTCCGAAAAATCGCGTTCCGAAACCTGTTTAGGATCACATGTCCTCTAGCGGGTCACAACTTTTCGGTTATCAAAGAAATCGATTTTTGAAAGGCTCAGCACAATAAAAAATAAGCGTTCTTTCAACTACTGATCCACAGTAGGTGCAATAATCTTACTCATTCGAGGCTCTTACTTATTTAATTTAATTTCTTTATTGTTCAAGCAAATATTTGCTGCCAAGCACAGTTAGTTTCTTAAATTCACTATAGACTCTAGTCATCCAAAGTTAACAAATACTTTGGAGTTAAATAAAAATATTTACATACAAACTTGAAGATTATTTATATACGTATGTACATATAGATTTAGCTAATAAAAGACAAAATCGCCAAATAAGAATCGGCGTCATAAATAGAGTTGCCTGCTAAATTCATTAACACTAGATTAGATAAGTCAGCTTTTGAAGTACATACATACATACATACATACAGTCATACGTGCCCATGTATTTCCAAAAAATTCTGAGTTAACAAGTCAAAATAAAATATAAAATGAGGAAAGCCGGTTGAGTTCGGAGAGAGAGAGAGATGCTTAGCCTTGTAGTCAGAAACTTGAAAAAGACGCGAACATCATTTGAAAATAGTCACGGCAATAAGATAAAATAAGCTGCTATAAAAATAAATCAAAAAGAAAGGGAACGACGGAAAACCATCTAAGTATCTCCATTCTAGTACTAAGGAAAATAAAAAAGTTTTAAAGTTGGTACAGACGAAGAACGAAAATACTTGGTAACATATGTGATGTATTAATGCACATATATGTAGGAATTTGTTGCTTTTGTTGCTTTTGTTGTTGTTGTTGTTGTTTTTCTTGAACGGCTAACCTTAATACCGTCCATCTAGCGGTGATGATACGAATACAACATAATACCCCTTTAGGAAATGCGAGCTTTTCGCGAAAAAAATCCGCGAAATGAAAGACACATTAGGGCTGTTCAGGATCTTGTGCATATGCTCTTCCATCTGCATATTCGTTGCATTTGTAAATTCACAACAATAAAATGCACACACAAATCCTAAACCATTTCCATTCCTTTTTTGCTGGACAATCGTTTGCGGTTCTTCGCAAAAGTAATGCGAATAATAATAAATAAGCCGAAGTTGGACTGATGAGGGTTATTTTTTTGATGCGCGGGAAAGTATTCTGTGCAAAAATACTGTGGTCATGATTTTGCATACGCATGTTTTATTCGGCGGGAAAGTTATTTACAGCAAACTTTAAAAATGCGAATTTTTTTTTCAAAAAATTTAAAAGTTTTAGTGAATG